CCCCAAAACCCCAAAACCCCAAAACCCCAAAACCCCAAGATTCAATATATGCACAAAAATTCTTGTGAATATTAGTTCGAAATTAATAATAAATTACTTTTAAATCAGGTAAATATTATTTAAATGGAAGATCATGGTGCATCATCAACTCTCGGTAATTATGGTACGAGAGTCTAGGTTCAAAATGAGTATCATTAGCAGCAATAGAAGCTTTATGTTTTATCGGAAAATGGCCAAGCAGTTTTGCAAAGAAACTCCTATCTGAATCCATCATAAGCCTATGAACAAGGTCAATAATAGCTAAGCAAAATAAATTCATTTACAGAGGCTGCACTGCTACCAGATATAAATAAAATAAGTAGGCCTTCAAGTAAATAGAATATCAATAAAAACTTCCTTCTAAACTAAGCTGAACAATGAAACTCTCAATTAGTAATACATTAGATAAATGGCTAGCAGCAGTTACAGTCAATTTAAATGGCCAATTTCTAGTAATAATAGCACTTACACTAAATTTAGCAGCACCTTCAGCATTCTAGGATGCCCCCAAGGCCTTAATAGACTCTTGTCAATAATCAGAGATTTTTTGGAGGCTCTATCAAGCATGAAAGTAGTAAAGCCAAATAGCTTGTCCAATCAAAGGAGGTCAGTTGATTACCATTCACTCCTTATCAGAAGAAAAGAATAGATGTGTATAAACAGTAATAATAGTTTTTGAATGATTAATTACCTGAAGGCTTAAGTCATCTTTAATAAGAATCTAATTTCCAATCTCTATGAGATCAAAATCTGCATAAGAGTCTCAAATAGGATCAAATCCATTAGTTATAGATGATGGAAGTCAAAGGCTAAACTTAAAAAGGAGTTCAAAGAATGGGTAAAAATAATTCTATTACTGAGCAATTTGAAAACCTAAATTTGGCAAATAGAACTTAACGCATGGGTCAATTTGCAACGCAAATGGAAATAAATCCATCTTTTAGCATTTAAAGATAAAAAGAGAATCTCATTGAAACCAAGCAGGGAAAATAATACCCTTATGATATTCTGGCTGCTGTTCCTGTTTAGGAATAAACTTAGCAGATTGTAAATTAAACCTCATAAAATTTTCATTAGTAACATTAATAATAAGAGACTGTCTCATGTCCACCAAACACTAAAGTTAAAAGGGTTAAACTTTTAGGAAAGTAGCAGTAGAATTTTCAATAATCTGGCAAACAGCCAACGAAATAGCCAGAATAGCACCAATCTAGAAAGGATAACATCTTTTAGAATAGCCTAATGATTTAGAAAATTGACTCAAATGTTGTAATTATCTAAAAACCCATGAAAAGGATAACATTTACAGAAAAGCCTCATTAAAGAAAATTGTCTTAAAATGAGATTTAGAAGCAATTGAATCTAAGTCAAGATAATTAGCTTTCCAATTAAAAAGAGAGAGACTTGAAGAAAACTGATTCACAAAAAGAAAAATTGAAAAGATCATCGTCAAAAGACAATAGCACAATAAGCTGTGAGCAAGATAACATTAATATAAATAACATTAGTAATACATTCAACCACATAGAACAAGATCCAAAAATTTATCAAAGCATAGAAATTTAATCAAAGAAATAGAGGTCATAGTATAGTTCATAATTTGATGAGCGAAAGCGATCTCACCAATAAAACTTTTAAAATATTTTCTAGCCAGAAGAGAATGGCCCTGATGCTGTTAATCAAGATTTAATGACTGTCAGATCAATAGATCTTCGTTAGGAGCCTAAAAAAGTAATATAGTCAATTTAAAGTTAATCAGCTCATTTCTAGAGTACTGCTCTTCATTAAGATCTTTTTTATCAAAGTGATATTAATTCTTAGGAGAGGCCTATTAGTTCAGATAGCAATAATTTGTGTTTCGTTAATGATGACATCACACAGGGGTATTAATCAGATCATCAAAAAGATGCAAATAAAGGATATCAAATCGGCTGTATTGAAGAAGTAGACTCGTAAGACTTTGATGAGGATGAAGAAGATATGGATGATGATATGGAAATGGACCTTAGTGATGAAGATGAAAAATTGCATGATTGTGATGATATTGATGGGCAGAGCGGAAATAATTCTGATAATGATGATAATGGTGATAGTGATATAGATAAAGAGAATGAAGATGACTTAAATGCTGAAAAGGGGCTAATTAAAAGCTCCAAAAAATGTGAAAAAGGATCAAAGGATAAAAAAGAGGGTAAAAAAGAAAAAAAAGATAAAAGTCGTAAAAGAGGTGAAAAGAGAGAAGGAGGTAACGGTGGAGGGATGCTGCTTAATCCATAGATAAAAATAACTATTTCTAGCAAAAAGAGTGGCTCAAATTAAGGGAATAAGTAGACAATTAATCAAAAGAACAGTAATAATCTAAACACACCATCTTAATAGAATAAGGGGAAAGCTGCAAAATTGCAACTAGCCTAGACTAACTCTACTGGCAAACCTAGCTCAATACAGAATTCATAGCAAAAAAAGAAAAAGGGGAATAAAACTGTGGCTCTAATTCATTCACTTCCCAAAAATTTAGAAGAAGAATCAGTGAGATTTTTCGAGAGTAATTGTACTATAAATCCAGTTTTTGACTATGAAAACCCAAATCTTGCTTAGAAATATTTAAGTGAATTTAAGCAGCCAAACGATGAATTAATGCAAATAGCAAAGAAAATTTTGGACGCCTTCCTTGCGCACTATGGAACTGAAAGTAGTTATTTAGTTACAGAGGGCTCAATTTTAACTTAAGAGGAAACAGAGAAATATTTCATGGATTATTTAGAGGCTCTAGGTGTTGCAGACTAAGTTACATTAAACTTTTAAAAGAATAAAATTGCCCCTACTAGTGTCACTCACGATCCCAAGTCTGGAAAATCTAAGATAAATATTGGTTTGCCAATAGAATACAGAGAAGGCAGAATAATGGGAGTATTGCATCATGAAATAGGCACTCATTATCTGAGGAAATACAATGAAAAGATGCAAGTATGGTACAAGAAAAGAGACAAGTATGAACTTAGAAGTTGTATTTAAACAGAGGAAGGTTTTGCATCAGTAAACTAGCTTTTTGAAATGACGAAGGATGAATTAAAGAAGCCCTTCATGTACAAGGCAGCACTTAACTACTACTCTGCATACATGGCAAGCAAGATGAGCTTTGTAGAGCTTTTTAATGATCTAGAAAAGTACATAGATAATCCTAGAAGAAGGTGGAAGTGCACTTTGAGAGTTAAAAGAGGTATGATTGATACAGTCGAACCTGGTGGTCTTTATAAGGACTAAGTGTACCTTGAGGGAGCTGTGTAGATACTTTAGGAAAGACATAGTATAGATTATGTCGGTCTTTATTGCGGGAAGCTAAGTTTAGATGATTTAAGAAAGCCAGCAATTGAAAAGAGAGTTAAAAAGGAGGGAATTTTGCTACCCACATTTATGTCTAATATGTCTGAATATACAAAGGCTTTAGACATCATAGCAAAAACTAATTTCATAGATTGATACTTATAAATATTATCCACTTAGAGTTCATCGATCTAAAATCATTTGCAGTTGTCTCAATCACATTATTAATATTTAATTTTATTAAGGTATTCGCATTTCGCTAAATCATAATCTATCGGGGTTTTGGGGTTTTGGGG